TCTCTCTCTCTCTCTCTCTCTCTCTCTCTCTCTCTCTCTCTCTCTCTCTCTCTCTCTCTCTCTCTCTCTCTCTCTCTCCTCTTCTCCTGGCGCACACCTTGCAAACTTAAACAAACCCGCCCATCCGCGTGCAAACACAAGCACACAAACACGCAAACGCAAACGCATGAATGCGCCAACGTGTAAATATGTGCGCACACACACACAAACACACACAAACACACACGCACGGGCGAATACATACAAACGCGTGTGCACGCAAACGCATGAAAACACCAACATATAAATATGAGCACACACACATTCGTTTCGCTGCTTACGAAACAGCACCTTTCAACTAGAATATGGTACTGGTACACACCTAAATGTGGTCACAATACTTACCGCTTATCCCGGTTCTATGCATCCACACACGCGCGCTTGCGATCATAGGATGTAGAGAAGATACATTGGGCAGCATTCCGCCAGGGCGCACAGATTCCGTTTCTTCCAATCGATTTACTTGTCGCATCAGAGAATCGGTGATAGGGTTCCGAACCAATCAATGATGACAGTAGAAGGTACAACTTAAGAGACAGGCAATCGAAGGGAGTGCGATGAAAGATCGAGGAAGCGAAAATAAAGAAAGAGCAAAAAGGGAACAGCATACGTCGCGAAATAAATCGATTCTTTGGTCGTCCTTCGTTGGAACGAGGTGAACGGTTGATGTTCCATTTATGTAACCAGTTTCCTACATCACAACCACGCTCACTGTCCATCCAATTTCCGGATCAGATTAAAAAAAAAGAAGCATCAGTCCAGCATGGTCGAGCGATTTCCATCTCTCCATTTTCTTTTCTCTTCGATTTTCAGCAATTTTTCGCCCTCGAAGAGCAATGCCGGCCATCATGCGTGTCGAGCCTTCATGGGGATGAAGGCAGGGAAGGGGGAGCACAGGAACTCAAAAGCCGATTCCGTAATTCAAATTTTGAGCTTAATAGAAAAAATAAAACAACTTACGATCAAACTTCTTCGTTAATTCTTCACGTTCCTTTATTCTACTGAGATTACGGACTGAACATCCATACTCATAACGATGCAGGGCCCTCCCTTCGGGGCATCCATTAGACTTGGAACGAGTTGGGGGGGGAAGGGGGGGGGCAGAGCCCCTCTCACCGCTTCCACAATCTGATTGTTTGTATTAAGCTTATAGGGAGTCGTAGAAGCGGGAAGACAGGCTCGACTTATCCTTAATTGCTAGAGATCCGCGGAAGCGACATACACGGACGAACACGCCGTTCATAACTACATCACCATCAGGACGTGTGTATACAAGTAAGTACCAGCTAAGTGCCAAACTTATCGTGATGCACCTGTGCTAATGGAGCTTTGTAATTGACATTATCTTTGAAAGAAAGAGGAAATCGAGAACTGAAAAGAGAGAGAGAAAGTGAGTGAGAAAAGACAGTAGCAGAGGGAAGAGTGAGCAGCAAAAACGACAAAAGCACGTACGACCCACTCACCGAAACCGAAAAAGCAGCAGGATAGAGAATTTAATTCGCGATTGCAGGATTTCGCACTGATGAAATAGCTTTCAATTAAAAACAACAAAGAAGAAGATCGGAATATAAGGGGAAACGAGACACGTGTCATTGTTAAAAAGAAAGGAGGCGTGTTCTTGTCATCTGAAGCGAACAGCTCTGGGAATCTCAATTGGCAGACCCCTGCAAACTACAACGCACTCCGTCACCCCGGTCACAATGCACTTGACCCTCTCGCAGTCCAGCGGCGAGTACCTCACCACCATATTACCGTATTTCTTTGTCAACATGCTCCAGCCCTCCACCTCACCTCAAGCCCCAAATCTCCCGCCCGCGATGGTGGGAATGCCGGGTACATATCCTTCCTTGCATTCCCGATATGTTATTCGAAATTTACCAAA